GTTGCACGTTTCAAGTATCCTCCTCATTGGGTTCCTCTTAAGCTTCTTTGGGAAGCCATGGACAGCATTGATCAGTCAACAGGGAAACGTAGAGGGTACTTACTCATTTTCTTTTAGCTTATTCTTAGGTTTCTTACTGTGTCATGGATGTAATTGTCTTTACAGAACATGGACTGCTATTCTTCTGTGTTGTTCTCAGGTTCATGCTTATATCTAGACCCCACAGAGAACCTGGTTTGCTGTATACTCTGGTATGTCATATACTTAATAGTTAGTACATGTCATTGTTATTTTGGTGATACAAAACTTGCTCAACCAAACTGGATCGGTGATGATTTTGCTTATATACAAAACCAGAGCTGCAAGGATGAAAGCTGGATAAGCATAGCACAGTATTTGAAGGAAGATGTTCCTCGTCTTGTAAGTTCACAGCATGTTGATAGTGTGGAGAAAATCATATCAGTTGTGTTCAAGTCACTTCCATCAAACTTCAACCAATTCATCAGATGGGTGGCTGAGGTCAGAATAACAGAGGACGCAAACCAAAATCTCAGCGCAGAGGAGAAATCAAGGCTCAACTTAAAGGTATTTTCCGTATAGAGTCTTCAAAAAGGTTACCAAAACCCAAAGTTGCATTAGTAAACATCCTTTTGAAGAACACTGACTAATGAAAAAATATGTAATTGCATTTTGTTTTGCATAGAGATGTTGGTTATTATTTGAGACACAATAACAGTAAGGAAGTTTTTGTTGTCTGTCTCTCCTTGAGCTATTCTTTGGACAATCTTGACTTTTACATGTCTCTAATCTCAACTTAATTTATTGCAGCAAGTGGTGCTGAAAGAAGTGCATGAAACTGCACTGTTCAAACACATCAGTAAGTTCTTATCTTCAGTGAATTACGAAGACAGTCTGACATATGCGGCTGCAAAGGCTTGTTGCCAAGGAGCTCAAATCTTGTCCGGGTGCTCATCGAAAGAGTTCTGTTGTCGAGAAACTTGTGTGAAATGTGTCAAAGGTATGTGTCACTATGTTTGATTCTTACAGTAAGTTGACTTCTCTTTTTTGCCTTTTTAGTCACCTCTTCAAATTTCTTTATTGTCCTCTATTCAAGGTCCTGGAGAAACCGAAGGTACGGTGGTGACCGGAGTTGTGGTGCGTGACGGGAGTGAACAAAAGGTTGATCTATTGGTGCCATCTACCCAAACTGAATGTGAATGTGGTCCGGAGGCAAATTATCCAGCAGGAAACGATGTCTTCACTGTGCTTCTGTTGGCTTTACCTCCACAGACATGGTCAGGGATCAAAGACCAAGCTCTCATGCAAGAAATGAAACAGCTCATTTCCATGGCTGCCCTCCCAACTATGCTTCAAGAAGAGGTAATTTATGACTTTATACTTTGATTTAAGTCAAGGAACGTTGAGTCTGAGAGTTTTACCTCTTCAAGCAAATGAATCTTTACTTTATGATATAGCTAAAAAGAAAATGTGGAATTTAAAGATGTTTAACATGGTGAATTTGTGGTTATCACAGGTATTGCATCTTCGACGTCAACTTCAGCTGCTAAAAAGATGCCAAGAGAACAAGGAAGAGGAAGATCTTGCTGCTCCTGCTTATTAATTCATCTATTCAAAAATTTAATCTCTTAGTCTCTTCCCCATTTGAATTCCAGATTTTTTTCAAACCTAAAGCCCTACTTGTTTTAAGAGTCTTTTGTTCTCTGTATGTTTGAAACTCTATTTGCAATAAGAGGGATTTGTAACATATCCATTTTACAAGTTATTCAACTTTATTCATCCACATACTCTACTGCAGATTATGAACCACACTCTTAAGCTTCTTCTTTTTATAATGTTTCTTACATTAGCTTGCCAACCACCAAAATGTATCCTTGCAAATCAAGAAACTGTCAGTACAAAAACAAAATTGAAAAATATATTTGTTTTAGCGTCCATAAATTACAGAAGCAGCTTTGAAACGGAAATATCGGACAACCTCATGCTCGCCCAATTCCCAAAAAAAAAATCTTACCGTCTTTGCCTCTGCTCGCCCAAGTAAACTGAACAGATGATACAACTATCGTGCACACAGGTCAGGTGTGATTATGAAAAATGACATATCGGCTATGTGTTTAGCAACTTGGTCAAGTTTTAGACATTTTTTTCTTTATGAGAGTGAATATGAGTGGACATGCAGTTTCAATTGCCATGCGGTGGGCTTAGAAAGATTGAAAACACTGTGTTGTGGAGTTCATGAAACATATATACCTTAATAAAATGTTTGTGCATTGCAAGCCTGATGGCCGCCAAGCGAGCATTGCAATTAAAAGGCAGCAAACAAGACTGAATCCACTCCTACACTCACTCTCACAACAGTTAATTTTTTTTTTTTAAGGTGGTGCTGCATATTATACTGTGATCAACATATTATATAAATTATTTATCTTCTGAATATTATCTTAAATACATATCAACATTTTATAATCTCATCATTATATATATTAACAGTTGTGCTAAAAACACTCAAGTAGCAGATTAATGATTAATAATTTTCTTATTTTATGCGATTAGTTCATGGTTGTGTTTTACTACAAAAAACAAATGGAGTGTTATTGGTTGTATAAGTTTAAATCAACATCGCTAAATTTAAAGTAGATCAGATTTGAAAATTTTTAGCTCATTTAGAATTTAAAGTATATAAATTATTTTAAAGTTAAAATTATGTGGCAGTATATATAGAGAGTCAACCATAACACTATTTGAATTCTAATAGAATTGAATTCTATAAAAAAAAAAACAACTAAAAACACATATAAAACATAAAATTAGTTTCAAATTCAGTTAGAACTCTTTCACTTGAAATCAATGGTAAGAATCTGTCAAAGATGAATAACTTAAGACTTTTATTAGTCTATTCAAATCTTTAACTAAATAACATAAGATTTCAAACTTCATTAATTAATAAATTGTAAATACAATAACCAATAACAATATGCTTTTATAAACAATTTAAAATCAGTCATTAAATAACAGTGGATTGTGGATAGATTTAAACTCTATTGAAAACCATAACTGAATAGATTAAAAAAAATAGATTGAATCAATGCATTTTGATAGAAAAAATATTTTGAAGAGTCTAAAAATGCGATTAGAGTCCTGAAGAAGCATTTCAAAACTGGTGTATCTGAACAGAAAAGACAAGTGATGAAACAGAATGATTCATTGTTGGAGTTGCCAACAAGAGAAATGAAAGCAGAAGCCGACAGAATGATCGTCTTGAAGAATGGCTGCGACAACAGGCAACCATTGACAATGTTTAAAATTTGAGCAGCTGCGATGCTCTTTGACGTTGACTTGCTCGAAAACAGAAAACCATCAGGCACATGCTTACTTGAAAAGTCAGTGATAGATGTCTTTGTCAGCCCAATGATAGAAGATTCGAACCAATTCTGCGTTTTTGTGAGGTCCTTGGAGGGATGGTATGAGCGTCGATCAGGCCATGCTTGATGATCTTAAGGTTCTTATTTTACTACTTTTCATACCTTTGCAATTGAAATTTATTTCTTCAATAATGTATATCAATTCATATGTTCTCACAAGAAGTTATTTATAATAAGAAGAGATGTCGTCTAAGCCGTCAAGGTATCGATCCATTCATTCATTTGATCTCTCTCTAATCTATCCATTAATAGGCTAATTAAGGCTTAGTTTCATTTGGCTAATTAAGGTGGTTGTTTTAGCTATGGATGGTGATATGTGTTATGTTAATGTTTTTTTCACCTGACTCAGCATAGCTAATTAAGCACTTCCAAGCAAGGTCAAAGATGATGCGACTCCTCTCGTGATCAAGCGGAAAGCTTTTCAAAAGAATAAGCTGCTCTCGTGATCAAGCTCAAAGCCACCACCACCACCACCACCTAAGGTGGCTATATTGTCCCTTTTTCTCTTTCTCTCTTTTTTTTTCCCAATGTTTTGAGCCTGTCTCTCATGCTCCAAGCCTGTTTTCCAGATTTAGTTTCTAGTTCTTTGTATTAATTTCTATTTTAAAATATCACTTTTTGTTGGAAATATTGTTTTTATTTGTTTCCATAGAACTTCAAATCTCTCTAAAAGGTAATGGAACCAAAGTTCGTTATTTTTGAAAATTTTAAAAGTGCATTTGTGTAGATGGGAAGAAAATGAGCTATAAACAGATTGGCATCACTATACAGCAACAAAATTCTTCTAAGTTTGGTCACATTTCCGAATAACAGTAAAAACTCTATAAATTAATAACATTAGGACTTTTATATTTTATTAATTTAGAGAGTTATTAATTTATAAAGAAATTAATTGAATCAAAACATAAATTTGGGACCAAAGAAATTTATTAACTAATCGAATTTATTAATTTATCGAATATTAATTTATAGAGTTTCTACTGTATATGTTTTACTCTATAGAGACAAATACACCTGGTCACACTAAAAGTTTATAACCTAAATCCGCCCCTGCATGAAAATATGAAATTATACTTCATAAACGTCTAATCCAAGTAAGTGCTGACATGGTCATGAATCCTCCGACTTATGAAATATTTGGATTAATGTGGATTTAAATCACAATGAGAAAATCCATATCACAATATGCAATACACCACCGTCGATTCGGTTTGGTACTCCAGACTCTTAAACCGAGTATTTTGGTTTGACCCTCCGATTATTCATCAAATCTTGTAAATTATAAAACCTCATTCAACTCTAAAAGTCAAAAGATAACCTCTTATAAGCGTTTGATATTATGCATTAGCATTTCGTATATAAACGTTACATTAAAATATGCAAAATGTCAATGTAATCAACAAGTAGTCACAATCAAACCAATTTAAACTGGACCAGCTAATTGACGCGGTCACTAACGGGTGAGAGAGACAAAAGAGAAGCATTGACCTTGAAAATTCGTAAACTCTTTCCTCCTCCTTTCTCAAATTCTCCATCACAATTTGTCTCTTCTCTGTTGTAATTTCTTACTACATATTACTAAAATCCTCGAAGTAATCCGTGAAAAAAATGGCTATGGCGAGTTTGTATCGGCGATCTCTTCCTTCTCCTCCGGCGATTGACTTTTCTTCTGCAGAAGGCAAGGTACGGATCAAGTTTTTTTTTTTAGATTCATGGGTTCTCAGATGCAAAATCAGGTTTTCGCTGCAATTACTTACTAAATTAAGCCAAAAAACAAAGAGACATAAAACAATCATCATTTTATAAGACTAAATAAAAAGGATAATGATATATAGCCAATTGTACGTACCAACATTACTAAAGATTCACAACGAGTCATTCATCAAAACAGTTACCACAATAAGATGATTTTCTTCTTCTACATTCTCAGTTTGATGCAAACTTTCGAATATGTTGCTACAAATTTAATTCGAATATCCAAAGTTTTGGGTCTTATTTGTGTTCTATGGGTTTGAAAATGAAGAAATGAAGCCCAAATTTTATTGTATTTTACATTCATGCCAATCTTTTTATTTTTTGTTTGTTGCAGAAAATCTTCAAGGAAGCGGTTGAGAAAGGAACTATGGAAGGATATTTCAGTTTGAGTTCTTATTTCCAGACGCAGTCAGAACCTGCGTTTTCTGGTTTGGCTAGCCTTTCATTAGTTTTGAATGCTCTTTCCATTGATTCCGAGCGTAAATGGAAAGGTATACTAGGCCACAAGCTCTAGTCATTTTATTTATTATATAGTAAGCAAAATGAGACAACATTTCTTTTCTTTTCTTGCTAAAGGGTCTTGGAGATGGTTTGATGAATCAATGCTGGATTGCTGTGAGCCACTAGAGATAGTGAAGGAAAAAGGGATTTCTTTTGGAAAACTTGTGTGTTTGGCTCACTGTTCAGGAGCAAAAGTGGAAGCTTTCCGCACAAATCAGAGCACCATTGATGATTTCCGCAAATTTGTAGTCACATGCTCCACTTCTGAGAAATGCCATATGATCTCAACGTACGATAGAGGAGTATTTAAGCAGGTAACTTTCTTTCTGCATATAACTGTGGACATTTTGCACTACAATGTTTTGTTTAAGGCTCATTCACAAATTAGGTCATAACAAAGTCTGAAAACGGACAAGGGAATTCGAGTGTTGTTGATCAGAGGATTCTAACAAGATCTTATCGCAGACTGGGACTGGTCATTTCTCACCTATAGGTGGTTACAATGCTGAGAGAGATATGGCTTTGATTCTTGATGTTGCACGTTTCAAGTATCCCCCTCATTGGGTTCCTCTTAAGCTTCTTTGGGAAGCCATGGACAGCATTGATCAGTCTACAGGGAAACGTAGAGGGTACTTAACTCACTTTTTAATGTTTTCTTCGTTTTATAGAACATGTTCTGGTGATGTTCTGTCTTGTTTACAGGTTCATGCTCATATCTAGACCCCACAAAGACCCAGGATTGCTCTATACTCTGGTATGTTCGATGCAGTGTGTTTTGCAACTATACTCTGTTCTTCATTCTCTTCTCAGTCACTTTCTTTCTTATGCAAACTGTTTTTACTTAAATGTGAATTTGATTCCCTTCTCAGCCTCAAACTTTAATGAAAACATCTCTTCCACAAATATTGGATCAATGACACAATTAGCTTTTGTCTTTTGCAGAGCTGCAAGGATGAAAGTTGGATGAGCATAGTCAAGTATCTGAAAGAAGACGTTCCTCGTCTTGTTAGTTCACAACATGTTGATACCGTTGAAAAAATCTTATCAGTTGTGTTCAAGTCGCTTCCTTCAAACTTCAACACATTCATCAAATGGGTTGCTGAGATCCGAAGAACAGAGGACGCAAAACCAAATCTTAGCACTGAGGAGAAATCAAGGCAAAAGTTAAAGGTTAGTGTAGCTTTTGCCTGACTCCTCCTTTGAACTGTTAGTTTGTGTAAATCCTTTCAAAATCTTAGTTTCCTGATTTTATATCTAATCTCTTGCAGCGAGATGAGCTGACACAAGTGCATGAGACTGAACTGTTCGAGCACGTCTGCAAGTTCTTAACTTCGGTGGGCTACGTAGATAATCTGTCATACGCGGCTGCAAAGGCTTGTTGCCAAGGAGCTGAGATCTTATCTGGAAGCTCGTCAAACGAGTTATATTGCCGCGAAACCTCTGTGAAATGCATCAAAGGTAATGATCTTGGTTCCTGAAATGGCTTCACTTTCTCTCATCTACTCAAGTAATTTGATTTTTCCATCAAGGTCCTGGTCCTTCTGGCGTGGAGGAAGCCACGGTGATAGCTGGGATCGTGGTTCGTGACGGTAGTGAACAGGAGGTTGACCTGTTGGTGCCGTCGACGCAGCCTGTCCCTAAAGGCAGTGACTATGGTCCGGAAGCAAAGTACCCATCAGGAAACGATGTGTTCACCGCGCTTCTGATGGCTTTACCTCCACAGACATGGTTTGGGATCAAAGACCAAGCTCTTCAGAGCAAAATGAAGAGCCTCGTTTCCGTTAGTGCCATCTCAACTATTCATCACGAAGAAGTAAGTTCCAAATATCATCATCACAACACACTTTCTAGTCTTCAGGACTTGTTAAATGAATCCTGAGTTGAGTCTGAGATTTTACCTCTTCAACTAAAACATAAACTCTTGTGAATTTCGGGTTACAGGTATCGCATCTTCGACGCCAACTTCTTCTGCTAAAACGTTGCCAAGAGAACAAGGAAGATGAAGACCTCACTGCTATTCTCTCTTAATTCAATTTCTCAAAACTATTTGTTCTCAGATCTCATTCAAAACTCTGTTAGAGAGAGAGGTTGTGTTCATCCTATGTCTCATCAAAACAAGAAGTGAAAACTATGTAACATATGCAAATCTATATAATATTTAAGTTATTATTAACCATGTTCATCACACTCTCTACAGTAGATTATGAATCCACTCTCACACAAACAGGTTTTAGTTACAAAACAAAGAACCCTTGAATCCTAAAAAAAAGCATGAAAAAGTCTATACCTTTATTATTACCATTCCAAAGATCGAATCCTGCGTAAGAACCGTGGTTGCTGCTGCGGTTTCTCAGCTACAGGAATCACAAACTCCATTAGCTTCTTGTACCTCTCTTTCCTCTTCTCTTCAATCTCTTTCGAAAGCGTTTCATTCTCTTCCTCGAGCTTCGCTGCTAAAGACTCCAACTCAACTTGATAAGCTTGTTTCCTCTCTCTCGACCTAGCAGCAGATTCACGGTTCTTAATCATCCTTCTCTGTCTCTGCGCAGCTGCTTTATCCAATGGCTCCACCATTACTCTCGCTCTCTTCCCTCTCGCTCCTCCTCCTCCTCTTCCTCCTCCGTAAACATCCAAACCGTTCCCAAACGCAACGATAGATCCTTCTACTTTATCAATCATCTGAAACGGATTATGCGGCGGCGCTGAATGATCGAATCCGTAATCGAGTCTCTCCGGCGGAATCTTCACATCCATATCGTCGGATTCTCCTCCTCCGTTCCCTACCACCGTCGCTGAATCTCCCCCGGCGGCTTTCGCTAGAAAATCCTCCAACGTCATTATCTCTTCCTGCGTCTCTTCCTTCATCCCTTTCCCTTCTCCAGACACGATGTCTCTCCAAACCTCATCGACACTCTTCCCACGCGTCTCCGTTCCTCCTCCGCCGCCGCGATCGAGATCGGAAACCGTCGTTATCTCCATCGGCGCTGATGGAGTATCCATCAGAGTTATCGAAGCTTCTAGGAGTGAAGAGTCAGTCGCTGGTGGATCCGATGCGAAGGCGTCGTGTAGAATCCCTTCCACCGTCATCGTATTAGAGCCGTATCCGTCGTTACTTCCGCCGTAACCGCCGCTAATCCTCGATTCATCGGCGATGGGATCTCGCCTGAACTGTTGAGGTCTTATAGAGGAAGAAGAAGAAGATGGGATGCGACGAGATAGATCCGAGTTTCTAGAATTTGAAGAATGTAGCACCTTAAAGGACGCCATGAAAGAAGTCCGTTGATCCTCACTCGCCGGAATCGGATCAGAAAATCACTCGGTTTTCTTTGACTCGGCTCGAAATGGAATCGGAGAACACAGAGATTCACTCGAGAACCTGAGCTCGCGAGATTTTAGGGTTTTTTTGTGAACCCTAGCGGATTTGGTAATTTTCGATCCGTTTAATTTTTCTCCCAAACTGCATCTAAATTGACTCTGCACAGAGAATTCGAAAGATCACGCGCAAATGTTTGGCGCGTGAGACTTTTTCACTGAAAATCGCTGAGTTTTTGGAAAACGACAAAACTTGTTTTTAACATTTGCGCGTGGGAAGCTTGTGTCTCGTGTCATCATGATGTGGTCGCGAAACTTGATATCAATTATTTGTTAGATCATTTTATCATTAGTGCATACTTAACTTGAGTTACGTTAACTCAAATCTATACTTAATTTAATGAGTGTGTTAGTATCTTTACAAAAATATTTATAATATAATAATTTTAAAACTGTTGGATAATAATTATCCACATAGGGGTAAGTAACAATATTTGCTGTCCATATAATTTACTTAGAACATGTGCAGTAGTGAACCTTTTTATAGGGTTCATTAGATTAAATTAATAATTTTTTTTTAAGTTGGGATGAACTTTGCTTATGTTTGAGGTTTCATTAGTGAATCTGTTTATGGGGTTTATCCGGAATTTAATATTATTATTTTTTTTGAAATTTTTTATAATTAAAATCAAAATCCACTGATTAAAAAAAAAAGAATACAATATATTGCAAAATTTTATAAAACATACAATATCAAAGAATACAATTTATTAAGAAAAAAATACAAACACATAATACTTAAAATATAGAAATACTTAAATATTTGTTACACATTTAAGAAGTACCAAATTTATTCCAAAGATTTTTAATTAAATATGCTTTCAATCGTTCATGTATTCGATAGTCACGGATTTCGTTTCGTTTCGCCATCATTAAATTTGAGACATTTGTCGGCCTATTTGTAGAATACAACATATCGACATACGAATTTTTGCTTCCGTCATCTTGTTGGAATTGTTCTATATTGGCGAGACTGTAGCTATCACGTTCATTTTCAACTACCATATTGTGTAATATGATAGAAGCCCGCATAATCTTGCCAATTTTTTATTTATCCCAAAAAAGAGCTGGATTTTTAATTATTGCAAATCGAGCTTGCAGAACGCCGAAAGCCCGTTCAACATCTTTGCGGACGGATTCTTGAGCTGTTGCAAATAACTTATTTTTCTCTTCTTGCGGAAGATGAATTGACTGTATAAAAGTAGCCCATTTCGGATAAATACCGTCTGTTAGATAGTATGGCAAACGGTACTCGTTACCGTTAAACCAATATCTCACTTTTGGGGCTTCAACATGCAACATGTCATCAAAAACGGGAGAACGATCAAGAACGTTAATATCATTTAATGTACTTGGAGGTCTAAAAAATGCATGCCATATCCAAAGATCTTGTGATACTACAGCCTCTAAAACGATAGTCGGCTTTCCTGATCCGCGTGTATATTTTCCTTTCCAGGCTGTTGGGCAATTATTCCATTCCCAATGCATGCAATCAATGCTTCCTATCATCCCGGGGAAGCCCCGTTCTTCGCCAAGGTCCAGTAAGCGTTGGAGATCATCAGGTGTGGGTCTTCTTAGATACTCATCTCCGAACAAGGATATTATTCCCTCAGTGAAATTTTCCAAACATAACAAGGCCGTACTAGCACCGAGTTGGAGATATTCGTCAACTGCATCAGCTGGTGTGCCATATGCCATCATACGGATGGCTGCCGTACATTTTTGTAGAGCGGAGAGACCTAATCTGCCGGTAGGATTTCTTCTTTGTTGAAAATATGGAACTTCACTGGATAGGCGGTAAACAATACGCAGGAACAAATCCTTGTTCATACGAAAACGGTGTCGGAATGTATGTGGAGGATAGGTTGCATCATCACTGAAGTAATCGTTCCATAATCGGATGTGGCCTTGTTCCCGCTCTCTTTCAATGTACTTTTTTTTTTTTTTGCTTTTTTTGTGCAAGTTGATTTAACATAGAATCAAACATGTCATCAAATTTCTGATCGAACATGTCATCAAATGCATCATCTAGTGCATCATCGACTGAATCTTCATACGGATCATCTAATCGATTGCTTGAAGATGCCATAATGTTTAGGTGTTTAAGTGTTTGTAATAAAAGAGAGAGAGAGATGTGTAGAATTTTTTTGTGCTTAGTAAAGAGGAATGTGTTTTGATAATGAAAGATTTTGATGGGAAAGAGGAATGAAGTTTTTTTAGAGCAATATTGGAAGGGCGATGTTTGCAACTACAAGTTTGAGAACATACAAATGTTTGAGAGCATATAAATACAGGGGAGATGCTAAAACGAGTGGCAATAATAAGATAGTGGGAAACATATGGTCTATATTACAACAGAAAATATGTGGATAGTAGAGAATACAACAAAAGCATATGGCCCCTCAAATTTTGGTGCATATGGTCACGGAAGTGTCAGCCATAACCTGCCAAAAAAAAACGTGAAGGTCAGAACAATTATATGAGGATGTAAATCGGACAAGTAAATGGAACATCAAAACAACACACATTCAAACAAAATAACAAGGTCGGCAATTGAAATATAGCCAAAGCATAACATAGTTCACAACCGATAACCAAACATAGTCATACCTAAAGCAAACAAAGTGCAAACAAAACCAAAACACAATGACACGTCCAAAACACAATGACAAAACCAAAACACAATGACAAAACCAAAAAACAATGACAAAGTGCATACAAAAAATAACTTTATGTCAAACCTAAAGATCATACATAGCCCTAATTAACTTGGTTTTAAGTGTCATTTCAATCTCATTAATTGGTTCAGTTTTAGCTAAAAGGCTCTCAAGTATCCTCTTGTCCCTAATCTTATCTTTCAGCTCTCGATCCCTTTGTTTCATTTCCCACATTGAAGAAAACTCCTTCATGTCCTTGTTGTCGGCTTTAACACTTGCTGAGTTTTTCGCACTGGCCTTAGAAGCCTTGACTCCAGGCGGACGAGCCTCGACCCCATGGTCATTGTCGCTTGCCGGCATGGAGGTTGAAGACTGAGCCGAGTCTTCCACCTTACTTCTTTTTGATGACGCACCATCCGGAGCTTTGCCACTCGTGCACCATTTTTGGTCGTGCCTCAACTCTCTCCATGCATGTTCCAGGCCAAACTTGATGCCGTAGTCATTGAAGAAGATCTCATGTGCGAGCTTCATCACGTCGTTGTCATTCTGACCCGATGATTTCTCCTTTAGCGCAGCTGCGTATGAGCCCACAAATTTGCAAACCTGATCATTTAACCTTCCCCACCGTTGCTTGCATTGAGTCCACTCTCTCCTTGGGAGTCCCTCAAGATCTTGGCTTGCGTTGTAATACAACTGAATCCGCTTCCAGAACGAACCTAAACGCTGTTCATTCCTGACTATCGGGTCCTTGCTGGTGCTGAGCCACGCACTTATGAGGACCAAGTCTTCTTTCGGCGACCATATTTTCCTCTTCAATGCATTCTCAGTTGGCTCTTCAGTGCCTTGCGTACTAAACGAAGGCATTTCTGATGATCCTAAGTCTATGCACGGTGAGTATGTGTCAGTGTTGTACTGACTGGATAACAGATTTACAAACCCTTCAGATGGTGTAACAGAGTTCTGGGAATCCATAGAACGAGTGAAAGAGTTGATGGTTGGGAGTTGAGATAGGGAATGAAGAAGATAGTCAAAGAGTTTTAAAAAGAGACGAACAGGCAAGAAGATAGTGAAGGAGTTTGAAAAAAGAGAGTGAATGAACAAGCTAGTGAGAAGATTCGAACAAGTGAAGAAGTTACACGAAAAAGAGAAAGAATGAAGTAGAAAGAAGAGAGTGAGTAGAATGAATTAGAAGATAGTTATTTAAGTTTTTAAATATGGTTGAGTGTCTTTTATTTTATGGTTGACTGTCTTATCATTGTGTCTTAATGTCTGAGTGTCTTTTACGTTTAAAGGGATAGTAGTTGAGAGTCTTTTAAACAGGGTTTTAAAGTTTTCTAACAAGTTGTCAACATTTTCGAGCAAGTTTAGATATCATTTAACACACAACCTAACCCTAAAATGTCATATCAAGCATTGATAACCAGTCCTAAAGCTAACATCATAAAGCCATTTACCAACTATATTAAAGACGACCAGGCAAGTTGTAAGAGAACTAACCTTTAGTCGGTGAGCCATATGCCTTCAACTAAACCATGTTTCTGTGGAGTCCATTAAAGATTACCCTCAAACAAAATATAAAAGACCCATTAGACAACTACATTACTTGAGCCGACCTAAACTACACTTAAACACTAACCAACTACATTACTTGAGACATTTCTAAACCCTAAACGTATAGGCAATAGCTGCGATAACAGAAAAGAAAAACAGTATCAGGAAACTATCACCTTGAGTACTAAGCTGCTCCTTCAAACGAATGACTTCTCCCTTGAGCGTTGATAGCTCTTCACGGACTTCTCCCTGAAGCGTTGATAGCTCTTCACGGATTTCTCTTATGGCTGGATCGAGAACGTTGCTTCTACTCCGATCAAAGCTGAGGATCAGGTTCTTCTGCTGCTCTATCCTGCTCGCGAGGATCTCCAACTGTTCGGTGACCCCGTCATCCCAGCATTGGTGGATGTGATCAATGTAGCCTACATTCATGACAAACCATTAGCAATAACATAAACGACACATCACAAACCAAAAGAACTTTTAACAAAGCAATACAGACTTCATGAAGACAGAATGCATACCTCGTTGATCCATTCCGGGCAGGCATAGTACTTGCGACCGGCTGCATTTGCTTTCACCTTCACAACCCGCCCGCAGAAGCACTTCTCTGGTATGTCGTATGTGCCATCCGCATAAGTCCAGTACGGGATCTCCTCAGATGATTCGCTGCTATAGCTTACCATTATCTGTCACAAAAAAAAAAATTATAACCAATTTAGTAAAAGTATGAAAACGTAAACACAAATAACAATCGATATTATGAAATAACTAAATAAGAAAGGCAAAGTCAAGTAAACCGATCATGTAAACACCAAGAACAATTCAGTTCATCATCAATAATCTAAACAAGTTACTATACTAAACCGATCATGTAAACAACAACAACAATTCAGTTAATCATCGATAAAGGCAAAGCCATGATTGTAATAGCATTTATATCAAACAGAAAACGTTTAAACAAACATTCATATGAACCCAATAAAAGAAATTCTGCTTCGACAAGGCCATATGGACTCACATTAATCGTCAACACATAATCAGCTTGTTAATGCATTGTAACATACACATGAGTAATACATATGGAAGAACTAAACTCCAATTTGAACACCAAAGAAAAGCCCCAATTTATTTCCCCAAATTGAAAAAACCCTAATTTCATCGAACAAAAATTCACCAAATAAACAATATAACATGAATTCGTATCGAAAGCAAGTGAAAAGCGGTTGAATTACATTGTATTACACCCCAATTGCAACCCCAAATGAAAGCCCCAAAATTTTTCCCCATTTCATATGAATCCTAATTTCACCGATTTCAAATTTCTTTCAAATCTCCCAAAAAATTTACTTCTAATCGTCTTCGGGTTTCAATGAGGTGAGATGACTCGAAATCGACACTAATTACCCAATCTAAACCACCGATTAAAGACTGACAATTTTTGCTCATGAAAACCAAAACCCTAATTTCCCTAAATCGAATAAAATCCAGCAAAGGAAGAGAAGAAACGCTTACCTCGACAATAATCACGGAAGCCCGACCCTCGGTTGTCCACTACACCAGCAAAAGTTGACGGTTTCGACGGATTTCACGGAGGCGACGAGAATCGCCGTAGGAGAGGAAGAGAGTGAAGAAAAAAAAATCGGGAAGGAGAAATGATTGTCTAGGAAAAAAAATTTTCCTTCCCCGAAAATTACACGAAAATGCCTCCACTCACGCTTCGCCACGTGTCTGAGATGCGTGTTCATCAAGCTCTTCCGGATGAACCGATCCGTCGAATTTGGATCTATTTTCTTTTTTTTTTAAGTCCATTTCGCCTTAGAACTCGAGCCAAATCCGTCCAACAAACCACTACTGGACCTGGTCTTACCACTCTTCCCCTTTCCTGTATAAATACATCTTGGATGATAATAATGAGAAGGTGTGATAAGAAGAAATCACTTCTTCCTCTCTTCTCTTTCTCACGTCTCTTTCTCTCTAATATAAAATATATACACATATACAAATACATATAAATCTTACCTTATATATAGAAGAGTTTATATTACGTTATCAGCACGAGCGCTTCTCGATCTTATACCAAAGAGGTAAGATTTAAATTTATGTTTAATTTATTCTAAATTTATATATTATTTGGGGATGATAAACTCTGTCTTCCCCGAACCATTAATTTAAATTTATGTTCAATTTATTTTAAAGTTTACGGGATGATAGGCTCTGCCTTCCCCAAACCAATCGTTATGATATACTATGCCTTCACGATCATATGATCATATGGTAGACTATGTCTCCTCGGATTATATTAATGGAGTGGAAGGCTAAACCTCCTCCTTAATTTTATATTTGTAGAGTAGAAGGTCATACCTCCTCTTTAAAATTATGGTAGGCTCTGCCTCCTCAATTATATAGAAAGTTTTGCCTCTATATTTTTGTTATATATGCATATTCAAAAGTTTTTATCATGTTTTTCTTTAAAAACAATATTTAAATTGAATTTCTGCTAAATTTATGATATACATACAATTATCATGTCAAATTTGGCAAAGCTCAAAATTCGCGTCCTTGATGTGTCTGGTAAAAATTACATGTCATGGGCAGTAGGTGCAAAAATTCATCTAAGAGAAAACGGACTTCTCGATACCATCGATAAGTCGGAAACGACATCAGATGAAAAAAAGGCAAAAGCCTTGATATTTTTGCTCCACCACATCGATAATAGTTTAAAAGAGGAATACATCACGAAAGAAGATCCTGCAGATCTTTGGCAATCTCTCAAAGATAGGTTTGATCACCAGAAATATGTGATCTTACTGAAATCCAAATATGAGTGGTTGAACCTTCGGTTCTAGGATTACAAAAGTGTTGGTGAATATAATTCCGCTATGTTCGGAATTACTTCCAGAATAATGTTATGTGGACAGGAGGTAAGTGATTTCGACATGATCGAAAAAACTCTCCAAAAATTTCATCCTGGAAAAGTAACCCTGCAACAACAATATCGGGCAAAAGGTTACACCACATACTCGGAGTTGATGCAAGTCCTCCTTGCAGCTGAACAAAATAATCAGCTCGTGATGTTAAACCATCAAACTCGTCCAACTGGATCATCGCCATTCTCAGAAGCGAATGTTGCATCATCCAGTCAAAATAATAGAACCGAATGCGGACGCAGACGCGGTCGAGGCCATAACCGCGGTCGCGGACGAGATCGAGGACGAGAAAGACAAAATGATGTTGTTACATATGCGGCATGAAAAATCATTGGGCAAAAACATGGCGCACACCAAGACATTTAGCCGATCTGTACCGAGCATCACAATATGCCAAAGAAAAGGATAAAGGAAAGAATTTTGAAACCAATTTCATCTCTGATGAAGCTGGACCTTCCTTTGATGGCATAAGTGATTATACTCATCTTGATATCGCTGATTTCCTTGTTGATCCTGAAGAATCAATGGAAACAAAGCGATTAAGATCGATGTAATATAAAGTCTTCTTGAAGAAAACAAGAAAAACCAATGTAATTTTAAATAAGAATGTAATATATTTTTGTTAACAAGAAAAAGTTTTTCTTAATATAAAATAATTTCTAAAATCATATTTTGGTTTTTAATGTATTTTCTTGCATATTGTGATTCAGAACATGTCATCGTTTGAGATTCAGGATGAAAATACATGTCTAGCAGACAGTGCTACGACACATACTATACTTAAAGATAAAAAATATTTCTCCGGTCTCAAAATAAAGGACTCCGCCGAAAGCGTGAGTACCATATCTGGTAATGCAACTATTATAATAGGCTCTAGAAGAGCTAACTTTTCAATGCCAAGGGGGACAAAGTTTGAAATAACTGATGCATTATATTCCCCCAAATCTAGCAGAAACTTGTTAAGTTCTAAAAATATCCGAGGAAATGGATATCATATAACAAGTATAAATAAGAATGGCATTGAATATCTTTGCATTACATCTGAGAGGAAACATGTATTGGAAGAATTACCAATGATGTCCTCTGGGTTATATTGCACAAAAATAAATATGATTGAATCCTATGTTACTGTAAACCCAGGGTTTACTAGTACATTTAGAGTATGACATAAAAGATTTGGCCATCCTAGATCAGTCATGATGAGAAGAATTGTGCAAAATTCGAGTGGCCACCTATTGAAAAACCAGAAAATTTTTCAATCGGGAGAGTTTTCATGTCAGACATGTTCTCAAGGAAAACTCATAACTAGGTCATCGCCAGCCAAAGTTGGGAATGAATCCCTTGTATTCTTAGAGAGAAGACATGGTGATATATGTAGGCCGATTCACCCACCGTGCGGGTCATTTAGATATTTTATGGTATTAATTGACGCATCTAGTAGATGGTCACATGTGTGTCTGTTGACCACAAGAAATATGACTTTCGCAAGATTAACTACCCAAATAACCAGGTTGAGAGCGCAATTCCCTGATTATGCCATAAAAAAGTCAGGCTTGATAACGCTGGTAAATTCACTTCAGCGGTCTTTAATGACTATTGTATGTCATTGGGAATCGATGTTGAGCATCCAGTTCCACATGTTCATACACAAAATGGCATGGCTAAGTCTTTGATAAAACAGTTGCAGTTGATTGCAAGACCATTAATATTGAGAACAAAACTCTCAATTATTGTATGGAGACATGCTATATTGCATGCTGGGGCATTGGTCCAGATGATGACAAGTGCATATAATGAATATTCCCCAATACAGTTAACATCTGGCAAGGAGCCAAATGTATCTCATCTCCGTATTTTTGGATGTGCGGTCTATGTCCCAATAGCCCCACCGCAAAGAACAAAAATAGGGCCACAAAGGAGATTGGAAATATATATCGGCTATACGTCACCAAGTATAATAAGATATCTTCAACCGGTAACTGGAGATATGTTTACGGCACGTTTTGCCGATTGCCACTTTGATGAAAATGAATTCCCAACATTGGGGGGGGGGGAGGAGGATCAAAATAATCACCAAAGGATATCACATGGTGTACACAAACCTTGGCTTATCTTGATCCCCCTACCCGTCAACGCGAGGCAGAAGTTCAGAAAATTATATATTTGCAAAGTTTGGTAAATCAGTTACCTGATGCGTTCAGAGATACGAGAAGGGTGACAAAATCATATATCCCTGTTGCTAATGCTCCATCAAAAATAAATGTTCCGGAACAAGTTATTGATGGGAATAAAGCAAATGAACCGCGGGTTCAATTAAAGCGCGAGAGGCCGATGGGCTCGAAGGATAAAAATCCTCGAAAGAAAAAGAAATTGGGAGATAAGGTTCCAGAAGAACCGAATAAAAAAAAATATCTTGAAGACATTGGTGAAACGGTTATAGAAGAACCATATAAAGATATATGTCATGAAGACATATATGAAGAGGTTCCAGAAAAACCCGTTAAAAAAGTTCGTCCAGAAGACGAACATGATACTGAAAAGTATGAGATTTCCATTAACTTCGCCCAAAGTGAGACATTATGGGCTAGAAGTGAAATAAATGATACAAATGGAATATTTTCTTTTTCGGTATCCAAAGAAATTAAAAATAAAAATGATGATCCAGACCCAAGGTCAGTGTCAGAATGCCAGAAAAGGCCTGACTGGAAGAAATGGCAGATGACCATAAGAAATAAATTAATCTCCCTGAATAAAAGAAATGTCTTTGGACCTATAGTCATTACACCAGAAGATGTAATGTCAGTCGGGTGCAAATGGGTCTTTGTGAGAAAAAAATGAGAAAAACGAGATCACAAGATATAAAGCCCGACTTGTGGCACAAGGTTTTTCTCAAAGACCGGGAATTGATTATGAAGATACATATTCCCCGGTGATGGATGCAATCACATTCAGGTACTTAATGAGCCTAACGGCATCTAAAAATCTAGATATGTATCTTATGGATGTTGTGACTGCATATCTATATGGATCACTTGATAGTGACATATATATGAAAATCCTAGAGGAAGTAAAGATCCCAGAAGGATCAAAGATGCCTGAAGCATCTAAAGATATATATTTAGTCAAATTACAGCGATCACTTTACGGATTAAAACAATCCGGACGCATGTGGTATAATCGCTTGAGTGAATACTTGTTGAGTAAAGGATACATCAACAATGCGATATGCCCTTGCGTGTTTATTAAGAAATCCTCATCACGATTTGTGATCATTGCTGTATATGTCGATGACCTGAAGATAATCGGAACTCAAAAGGAGATTGATGATGCAAGAACTCACATGAAAGAAGAGTTCGAAATGAAAGATCTTGAAAATACAAAATTTTGTCTAGGGCTCCAGATTGAGCATTTCCAAGACGGAATATTTGTGCATCAATCAAATTACACCAAAAAGGTGTTAAAATACTTTAAAATGGATAAAGCAACTCCTTTGATTACCCCAATGGTCAATATATCACTTGATATTAACAAGGATCCATTTCGACCTTGTGAAGATAGCGAAAACGTATTAGGTCCTGAAGTACCTTATATATATGAGCGCTATCGGTGGACTTATGTATCTTGCAAATTGTACTCGACCAGATATAGCTTTTGCTACTAATCTACTTGCAAGATACAGCTCATCTCTTACACGCAAACATTGGAATGAAATAAAACATATTTTTCGTTATCTCCAATGTACGATTGATCTGGGTTTATTTTATCCTAGAAACCTCGAAGTTGGTCTAGTTGGTTTTGCAGATGTAGGATATTTATTAGATCCGCATAAAGCTAGATCGCAAACAGGATATGTTTTCACAATTGGTGGAACAACGATCTCGTGGTGTTTTCAAAAACAGATTTTGGTCGCCACTTCTTCAAATTATGCGGAAATCATTGCTCTCCATGAGGCATGTAGAGAATGCATATGGCTTCGATCTGTGACTCAACATATTCAAGGTGCAAGTGGAATAGTCATTGATAGGGAACTAACAAAAATGTTCGAAGATAATGCTGCATGTGTCGCTCAACTCAAAGAAGGTTTTATCAAGAGCGATCGAACAAAACATATTCCTCCATGGTTTTTCTCTTACACTCAAGAACTCGAGAAAAATCAGGAAGTGGATATCCAATATGTTCACTTAAGTGACAATGCAGCAGACCTCTTTACAAAGGCGCTTCCCACTATATCATTCAGAAACACATGTCCATAATATTGGAATGCGTGGACTGCGAGATCTATAAAAGAAATGTATATCTATCATTTCTAGAGGGAGATTACGTAGCTGTACTCTTTTCCTTTGTCATAGTTTTTATTCTAATAAATTTTTCCATGATAAAGTTTTTAACGAGACAGTACATAATAAATTATTAGTAATAGATAATTAAGTGGGAGTGTTGGATAATAATTATCCACATATGTAGGGATAGGTAACAATATTTATTGTCCATATAATTTACTTACCACTCTTCCCCGTTCCCTGTATAAATACATCTTGGATGATAATAATGAGAAGGTGTGATAAGAAGAAATCGCTTCTTCCTCTCTTCTCTTTCTCTTTCTCACGTCTCTTCCTCTCTAATATATAATATATATACATATATATAAATACATATAAATTTTACCTTATATATAAAAGAGTTTATATTTTTTTTTTGTCGTCTTAAAAGAGTTTATATTAAAACAAATTTAATAGACTATTTTACTAAAGTTATCGAAAAAAATTAGGCTACAACTTTGTAGTTCATGCTTGTGAGTTATAAACGAAAGAAGAAACACACGTTTTGACCTCACAAAATACAAATCATTACTGTATCATCTATTGACAAAGAAAAGGTTGGACAATATGATCCAATTAAACAAAAGTAGTTTTTTGCTCTATTTTGCTAAATGGTTATTTTCCAATACAAAAAATAGTAAAATCAATATTGGCTTATGTCACTCGAAAACGTTAAATATATTTTATTAGGAAACATTAGGGTTAGAGGTCAATTAACGAAGATAGTTAGCATAAAGTCATATTCATATCATATGCACAAAATAGCTGTACGTTTAAGCAAAAAAAAGGACGTGAACATGTAAAACAAATTGAAAGTTTAGAACCCTTTTCGCCTACAAAAAAAGTCTTTGTACAAAACAAGTTCTTTCGATTTTGAATATAAAACCGTTGTTGTTTGGTTCCACAAAACACTATAAACCGACGTATACTAATATACATAGTAGATTGAAAAGAGTGTCCGACCTGAAAAACCCTAAGCAAGATAAATATTTCATGAAATGACACTTTCTCAGACAAACTCTCATTTGCTCGCCAATCCCTAGGTTGGAAAGGGATTGGCTTTCGTGGTTGTCTGAGAACCCTTTCCCTTTCCGAGGCTGTTACTCGGCCAAGAAGATCCAAACTCAACCTCCTCCTCTTCTTCCCAAGAAACTAGTAATAAACGAGCAAATTAAGTGTCATAAGCAAAGGAACAAGCTTTCGTTTCTTGGGAGCATAAATAAATTTCATAATTCATACACAAACAACTCTTGACGATGAGCACTGGGGAAATTATTACCTCTTATGAAGTAACTAAAATGGAGATTCGAGTGGTTCATCCCAAACATCTGCACTCCCATTCGAGACTTCCTCCACATCTTCTTCCATCGATAACCTCACATACTCTCTCTGAGCAAATCGGTCCCATTCTGTCAATGTTGGATTTTCACGTTCCTATGACATGGAAAGAAAAAAAATATAGTAGCGGTCAAGTTAACTAAACCCTGTTACATCGTTCATAGTTTTCTCCCAAGTTATGATATAGACTATCTAGGTCTTTTAGAGCCTTTCACGAATTGATATATCATTAATAACCCATTCAGTAGTAATAGTTTCAACAGCTGTTAAAACCAAAGTGGAAGAAACTCTACAGAAAAGCTCTGGTTACCTGGCGAATGAGAAAAGGGTCACGGGTTTCAAACGCCATGAATTTATTCAGGTTGAAGAGTATATTGAAAATATTTCCAGAAAGTTTAGATGCTTTCAGATCCTGGAGTGTGATGCAGTTCTCCTTCTGAAAGAGTCAATAAGCAAACTGATATTCAAAATAAGTAAAACACCCGGGAAATAGCAAAAGACCATGTTAGGGTTTGAAAGAACTCTTGCCTCCGGTTTAATCATGTCGAATATTTGACATAGGATATCCTCAAAGAGTACAGGTTCCTGGGTTATGCATTCCATGCGATGCAGCTGCTCTTCGTAGAAAAACTGCATTTCGTTGGGAGTGATCACCCCATCTCCATCCAGGTCTACGCACTTGAACCTGCAAAGAAACCTTTCAATCAATTTCAGGGGAAAAAGCCAAAAAGCCAAAAAGCCACCACGAGTCCAGTGTGTTACATCCATGGCAGATGGATGACATACCAGTGACGCATGCCCTATATCAGCGGGTCAATAGAAAGCGTTCTAGTTTCATGATATAATGAATGAGAAAAGACCTATAAATCACTACCCAGACAAATGTTTTAGATTCAATATGGGTATTCTATGTTCATGAAATAATGGTACTACTTGATGTTTACTGTATCACAATTTCTGGTAGATATGCCACGAGTTTTGGCTTAGCGGTTATACATTCATTTTGACATATTGTGAGTCAAGCAGCTAAGGACACAATGGCTGAAGAATAGTCTGTAAAGAAAAATGAAAGAAGGGGAGAGAAGTGTACCAATACTCAAGACTGGACTCAGAGGACTTATCCTCCTCGGCGAGAATAAAGTATGCAAAATCTTCATAACCCATCTTCCCCTCAACTTTGCTCGTGAATTTCCTAGGGACCTATGTGAGAGACGTAGCCATAACATGAATCATAAAGGAATGAATCCCGTAAGACTATAATTAAGCTTCATAACAGTGTGTTCAGACAAAAACATTTTGACATCTGGAGCCAACCTGTGTAAATATCCTGTCGACAATCCTGTAAGTAAGGGCATGATTACCATACTTGATGAGATTTTCCTTATCAATAAAGAAATCATGGTCGCCATCGAGTTCCCAAAATCTGCAGTATATAACGTAGAAATGCTCATACGAGAAGTACCTGAAAAGCAAAGAAAATGTCAAATTGAATGGACAAATCATGCATAATGTCCTCTCTGAGTATTAATCTGAACTTCCCATACACTTCTTTTTCCTTTATGAGTTTAACGGGTAGTGCCTATGTCTAAGAAACGATACGAAGACCTAAGCACTACCCCCATATCGCTTACAATGCTACACAGCTTTCCTTTCTGAGCTTGAATTCTTAGACAACTTAACTGGTTTTTATTATAATAAACAAAACTAACTAAAAATATGTTTCACTACTTTTTAAGAAACGATGAAAAGGAAAACATGATCACCTAATAACTTTATTGATGTCGTCTTCTTCATCAACTTGTTGCATGGCAGCAATAAGATTCCCACGCTTCAGCTCTCTAAGAGTAATGCAACCAGTTCCTGATCTGTTTATGTAGTAAAATATTCTGTAGATGACAGTCTCAGCTGGGTAGACGGGAAAGAACACAATGATGAATGAAACAAGCACAGAAAAAAAATATGATTTAGTCAATAGATGTATAAAACAGTATGCACCTGATATACTGTATATTAAGTGTCATTTCACAACTTTCAAGAAATAATTATAATGGAAAGCGCCAATAAAATTAACAAAGGAAAAATTATTTGCCTTGGCCTACCAGAACAGCTAAAGAAGTCACTTTCAAGTTCGCCAATGTGTTCTCAAAAATCAAATAGATGGAAAGAAATTGCATGAACATCTTATTTTCTACATAATAAACAGGCTTTCCCGTAGTACTCTAGATATATATCACCATAAAATCAATGTATCATAAACCAAATATGTTCTTACCATATCTTTCTTGAAATTCAGGTGTATTCCTCAAGAATTCCAAGCCAGGATGAGATGCCAGCAGCTCATCAAGAACTGGTTTGAAGTCAGCCTATCCCCAAATCCAAGAAATGATAGAAGTGAGACGTCTTCAGGAAAATGGATTAAAGAAAACAAGAAAGACGATAATCTTCGGTAAACAATTCAAACAGCAGTGAAGAACTGGGAAAAGAATCACAAATAGACCTGTCTGAGGTACTTGCAGCCTGTCTGCCTCAAAATATTATATATTTGTGTGGTTACGTCCATTGCCAACATATGTCCATCAACCCAATACTTGATAAATGCATCCCTGCGGGTAAACAGTATATTCAGGAACAATATATGGTGTATACTTTTTTTTTTTGTCAGAATTTAAACAGAAAAAATTGCATAGCTGTTGTATATTTCTATGATTCTTAACCAAGCTTTGGCTAATTGAGAAGTATATCAATTTCCAAAAAAATCTACAGTGCCGATACTTCAAAATTACTTAATTACAAATATCTTGTATATTATGTAAAAGTGGCTTACGTAAAAAGGATAACAATCAAATATCAAATTATTATGCAACTGTACAATTATTTTTAAATGTGTGCAATTGACGAGACAAATTGTTGAGCGTGAATCCAGAGATCCACACCAGCGTGTTCTATTATTATTATTACATATACACAAACACACAAGTATGTATATACACTTAACTACTACAATTACGCATATGAAAAGAAAGCACACAAAGAGTTACCTTGTAACGATACCGGTGCATTTCGTATCTATCTTTCTAAAAAGTACCGAAGAAAGAAAAGAAGGCAGCTTGCAGACTTCTTTCGTAATAGATTTGAATTCTGCAATTGGACAATAACAGGAATATGTTTGTAAGATCAACTGTTTGCCTATTCCTTACAGCACGAGACTGATGTAGAAAAGTTTGAAGTGAAATATCACCATCCATACGAAGTCCGTCAATATAGTTACTAAAATAATGATCGACCATGGATATACATTGCTCCTTTAGTTCTTTCGCAGGTGGACGCCCATGTTGGAAGTAAAACTGCATACATATCATAGCATAGAAGTTATAAACAAGATGTTGAACATTATTCGCTATTAAACGAATTACCATAATAAACGTGCAATTTGTCAACGTTTTGTGAAAAAAAAAAATGTATCAATTCAACTTAACCGTAGAAATAGTTTCTACTAATTTTTTTGCTCATGGATATACATCTACTTAGCTATTTCAATCTAGTTATAACAATCATGTGAGCGTACATAAAAAACCAAAATCAAGATGTCAAGCAAGGCAGAGTCTTCTCCTGTTATTTGAAAGAAAGCCAATTGTAATTAAAAAAAAAAACATCCTTACGAGGAGCAGCAGGATAAATATCAAACCTGTGGGATGAGCTGGCGCTTTGGTTCTCTGACTGATCTCAAAGGAGACTGTAGAGAAGAAGGACTTGTCTTTTGCCTCGAGAAACGGGGAGACCCAGATGAACTTCGAGGGGATAGTGGGGGAGTGCCACTGTTCAGAAACACAGATGGCAATGCACTTCCGCAAGAAATGTTGAGATTGGCACAATTCTTGGATACACTGACTGGGGTACTAGATTTAGTATCATCAATCAAAGACTTGACCTGCACAAACATCACAAAGATGAACAGCCAAAATAAGGTCACAAAAAAAACATTTAAAAAAAACTGCCACCTAAAGTTTCTTCCCCGTATGATTGATTCCCAGCCATATCAAATTAAAGGAACGCTGAGGAGATTCTCAGGAAGCTTAAGTTAATGTTGGTACTACACAAATACAAATGCTTTTCTAGCAGAGACTTGATATATCCCAGTACTTTTTTCACCCAAGTCATTCTAAGCTCTATAAGAAGATTCACACATTCTCTATATATCTAACACTAATTAATAAACAAAATTCTTAGATATATAACAATGAGCTCAGGACCATGTACGACCATGAACGGAAAAGTTATGGGAAATCAAATGATGTCGCAACGACAACTTTATTAACAATGGGCTCAGGAACAGGAATCAGCATACATAAACAAGCGCATAAATCAAATGAACAAGAAACTGAAGAACAGACACAGTACCAACCTATACTACTGATTAAAATTTACAAACCCGGTATGCACATAAGGAGACAGAGGTTTAAGCATCCAATTGAAATCACAAATGGATAAACGAAACTTTCCAAAAGACAATCAAAATGATCTATCAACTAGATAGATGGTGGCGTTGATAAACACTATGGGATTGAAATAAAAAGACAAGAAATCAGAGGCTTGGGAATCAAATTACCAATCGGCCAGTCTCAGGGAGTGAAAGCCACTGTGAGAAGAGTTCCTCAGCAATATGAGGGTTTGTTTTCACCGATAAAGGAGACAAACCCGGAAGCTGCAAGAGCTCAGGATCCAAGATATGAACATCGTTTACACCATCAATCTCCATGATCTCCTTATATTATCGAATTAAGAGAACAGAAGTGCCACAAAACTCCAAGTCAATTTCGAAAACTGGATCGTAACCACTGAAACCCTAATTTCTTCAATTTCTTCCAACACCTTGAAGCACTAACTCTACGACGAAATCTTCAGATTTTCGAACGATCTACAACCAACTTGAATGGAGCGAAACCACCACGAAACCCACAGAAATTTCAGAATTCAACACAAGCGGCTCTGACCAATCGAGAAGATTTGCTAACTTTATCTGGGAAACTCCAAGAAACCGAAACGGAAAAGGAAAAGGAAAAACGATTCGATAAACCCTAGATTTCAAATTCTATCAACAAGCAAAATAGACTACAATATCATACAACGTCTTCGCCGATTCGAACACTAATATTTATGCACCGAGGAGGAAGAACGTGGCAGATCAGTGAACACTGATCACTCTCCGATCAATAGAGGAAATTTCAGAGTTCGAGAAAGAGAGAAAATCGGAGAATTTTCCCGGAAAGGTAAATGATGTGAATGAATTAAAAACTGGTATTAATACTCGGCCCAGCGGTGGTATTTATTTTCCACTTTTAGCCCTCAGCGTTGACCGAAAAGTCAACTAGAAGAGAACCAAAGAACAATTTTTGTTTGTTTTCTTTTTTGGTTTATTATTACAGAGAAAATATAGGAATACAATGTTCACCGTTTTTACATGGAAACCCTCTACATTTTTGATTGTTATTTTGTCTAAACACATCACGATTTAAATATACAAACGAAGAGTGCTGGGAAAGATCTCTCAGCAAAGCTGTAGCAGAAATCACCTGTAAAAGATCGTTCAAGTATATGAAATCTTTCTTAACCAAAAGATTCACCGCTTTCTCCGAGGAAGTTTTTCTGATGAGTTCTCATTGAGTTTTGCTGTCTCTCTGTCTCTCTCATTTTCCTTTATTTCCAGAAGCTCAAAGCTTCTCAATGGATCTTCCCGATTGTTTCTTGAAGCCGTTGCACGAGAGAAAGACAGAGTCTTGGATTCATATCCAGCTTGGATTCTCTGGCTGGTCGAGGGACGGCCATTGCCACTTCCGCTGCCACCACCACCGCTCGATGAAACCAGACGGCTTGAAGCTCGGCTTTCGCTTGGTCCGCCTGCAGAACTTGGCCGAGAGCTTGAAGCAGCAACAGCTTTCCTAGAAGAAGATGTTCTGTATCTTGAGGAACTGTTTGGTCTCTCAGAGTCTCTATGCTGCCAAAAACAAATACAATTTGAGTCTCTATGCACGCTTTTGTATCAATATGTGTTTTTGGTGAAGTGAGATTTGTTACCGTGTGCTTAGTGAAAGGTCCATCATCAGAGTTTCTTGATCTGGAACGATCACGTGGCGTACAAGTTGTTGTCGGGTGTCTTCTGGAGAAGGCTTCCACTGCACCTGAGATTCTATCACGGGTTGTTTCCCTACCTACACGCACAGAATCATGAGGAATGAATGTGTGTGTGATTCTGAGATTTCCAATAGAAGCAGGAGTAGATTTTTACCTGCGAACCTCTCTTGTCTTTCCATGGAAGGACCTGCGTTGAATCCTGGTTTCGTGGTTGTATGATGCTGCAAGACCCGGAGATTAACATTTACGTAAGCATAGAGAAACTCAAAAACCACAAGAGTAGAAGAAAAAGAAAGAAAAGTCACCCTTGTCCGTGAGCTAGAACCAGAGCTGGAACCGATTTGAGGGTACTTTAGGACTGTCCAGTCAAATACATAATCGAATTGGTAACCTGCAAGAGAATCAACAATTTGAAAAATGAGACAACAACCGCTTAAACAGTATGCAAACTTTGTGAAAATAATGATGATAAGATAAGAAAAAGAACCTTCTCGGATGAACAAGTCGCGGAAAAGCCTCTTAAGGTAAGAGTAATCAGGTTTGTCATCAAACCGTAAAGATCGGCAGTAATGGAAGTATGAAACAAATTCAGAAGGGTGGTTTTTACACAACACCTACATCGAAAACATTCCATTAACATACTAAGATACCGAGATAGCTTTAACATTTTAATCTCTTAATATGATGCAATCAGATTGTCGAGTTGTTTTACCTCTATAGGTGTTGATACTTTCTTCTCACTGATTCTGTCATATTTCTGCTTCTTTGTCCCAGCTTTTAATCCCTGCCATGGTAAGCTGATTGCAACAAAACAAGAGTTTGAATTTTTGTCCAACAAAATATACAGTAGTTGAAAGAAGAAGAAGGAAAAAAACTGTAGATTCTTACCTTCCTTTGAGAAAATACATAAGCACATAACCAAGTGATTCCAAATCATCCCTTCGACTTTGTTCTGTACAAACACCAGCAACTAGTTAAGTTTCAGACACACAATTCAAATATATATATAACACCACAGAACAACTCTCTTACCGACTCCAAGGTGAGTGTTGACACTAGCGTAACGAGCCGTCCCAGTGAGATTTTTGTTTTCTCTGTCAAAATTTAATCTTTCCTTTTGAGTTCACGGATATTAGGATGCAAAAATGCAGATCCCTGAGTAAGGATAAAGGAAACAAATAAACATGGCATATTCTTACCTGTAAGGAATGTGCTTGTGAGTCTGAAGGTCTCTGTATTTCTTTCCTAATCCGAAATCAATGATATACACCTGAAATCATGAGGAAAAAAAAAACAGTTATCTCAGTAGGTTGAAGCCGAAACCACCATCACAATTAAAAATTATGGCTAAGCACCATAAAGATATATTTTAGCACCTGGTTTGCTTTGCGTCCAAGTCCCATTAAAAAATTATCAGGCTTTATATCACGGTGAAGGAAACCTCGAGTATGCATAAATTCAACCCTGTTAAGCTGAAACGTAAACAGAGAACACAGATACTCTTCCGTTACGAACAAAGTCATTAAACTCAGCGAACAGAACAACTAGCAAGATAAATATACTCACTAACTGGTCGGCAAGCATGAGAACAGTTTTCAAGGTGAACTTCCTATTGCAGTAGTTAAACAAATCTTCAAGACTAGGACCTAGAAGGTCAATAACCATTACGCTGTATTCACCTTCCACTCCAAACCACTTGAGATTCGGAATACCAGCTTCAGGGAGAAAGAAAAACAAAAAAGAAACTGTCTTAGTTATTTGCAAAATAATAATGCAACCAGAACGAAATGTAAAATTAATAAAAGCCTGTCTACACAGAATATACTTGATCACCCACAAAGCAGAAGAAGCATACACAATAGACAGAAGCCTATAATTCTAGTGTAAAGTGACACTTACTTCCTCCTTGAAGCAGCATATACAACTTTGACTCATAATGAAGTTGGGGATGCTTGGTCTTCACAGATTCCTGAGAAAAAAAAGGCAAAATGATAGTTATAAAAAAAAAGTAGAGAAGCAGAATCAAAGGACACAACAAGGTCACATAAATGGCGAATGAAACAAGAAAGTGATTCCTCATCGTCTTCATGTGAAAAAAAAGAATTTTTACAGACAGCATCACATGAAAATCGCAATTGAACTAAAAAAGAATTTTTTCTTTTCTGCATTTGCATTTGCATTATCCAAAAAAAGAAACAAATGCATTTAAAGATTCAAGTGTTGTTAAAAGTGGTAAATCTTTACCAGCTTGACAGCAACTTCTTCTCCTGTTTGGACATTCACACCTGCAAAAATGCTCAAACAATACGTAAACCCTAAAACTTATATAGAAATAAATTTCCAAAAAAAAAAACGGATTCGTCCTCATTTCACCTACCTAGATAAAGCTCTCCAAATGATCCACTACCAATTTTCCTTCCAAGCTTGAATTTCCCAGCGATCACAAGATCCATCTTCTCCAATCTCTTTACCAACCAAAAAAAAAAAGACCCTCAAATTCCAAAATCAAATATCAGACGCTTCCTCAATTTGCTCCTGGATCTGTTTTCCAAAGAGATTTACCCTCGACGACAATCCTCAGATTCACGAGTTTAACATCGAAAAAAAAGTCTTCAGAGATCCATTATTGTAATGGAACATCAAAAACCAGATTCCAGCAAACCAATTCGCCATAAACTCATCTTCATTGCTTCAAAAATCAAACCCACCATCAAAATCATAAAATCGGAATCCCAAACAGTTCATCGAAAGGAGACCGAATTGCTTGCAAATTGAACGCCGAATTGATTAAGCCAATGAAAAAAAAAAAAACCTCAGATTTAGGAATCGAGCTAATTCGAGAGCAATTAAAAACGAAAAGCGCAAAATTTTAGATGGACATGACTCGGAAACTGGGCAAGAAAATCGAGGTTTCGTAGAACAGAGAAAAGGAATTTGGGTAATTTAATACGACGAAACTAAGAAAGAGGGACGAGAGGAAATGGAGATTTGGGACATTTTTGTCTGTCGCCTTTGTGTTTTTTCCTCTAGAAAAGAAAAATTTGTTTTTTGGTTTGGTTTTAATAATTGTACAGTCGGATAAAATTAACAATAATATCCTGATTAAGGTTAGTGTACGAAACAAAAAGAATTTAATCAGAGGATTAAGAACAGAAGAGAGCAACAAAACAAAATTTTGTTCTGAATTTTGGGAGGTTAAGCGCAACATACTCTAACAGACTTTTTTTTTGGTCGAACTAAGTTTGCATTCAAATCAAATGAGTTTTGCCTCTACTTAGTAGAGGATACACAAGGCTACATGGAGCCAAACAAACCAAACCAACGACCCACAGATTGGTCGAGGTAATAGTAAAATTTAAACAACAATAACAATTCAAAGAGAGACATACAGATAAAGGGGAGTTCATAAGCTCAACCCAAGTAGCTTCTAAACAAAGGCAGCGCAAAAAGAAAACTTCTTTTGCTTGACCGTCTTGATCGATGAAACCACAAAAAGGAGGGATCCAAGCTTCCGGTGGCGTTAATGCTAAATCGTCAACAACATCAAGTGCTAAACGAAAGACAATTAACATCTTCGTGCCTGTTCTAAGCAGAACAACCTTCAAGATAATGCTCTCTGTAACACTCAAAACAAGTGAAATATTTGGGAGGAGAAAAGACTCCAAAATGGAGAAATTAAGACTATGAAAGTCCAATCGGACCAGATTCACTAAAGAGATGCAACAAACAACAGTTTTCTTAGCAATCTGCCACAAAGAAGAAAACAATATCAAAGCAACCCCAACAAGGCGAAAACGGAACAGAATCTGCATACCGCAGTAAAAGAATGCACTAGTGCGTTATGGTAGAATACAACAAGGCTTATTTTAACAGACTTTTAAATCATGTTTTGGCAATAATGTTTTTAATTTTTTTGTTATACATTTTTTATTTTATTTTCTTACGAGCAAAACCAAAACCGGGTTTAGAGTGTTTTAGATATTGTTTTTACTCGTGTTGAGATTTAAATCATCTTTGTTGATTACGCAAGATTGCCTTTTTCTTGAGTAGGTGTGAAGATTAAAAGATTGAACAAAATCACAACCAAAATTTGTGACATCTTAATTTAAATCATAGATTAGAATGAGAGTATTAAAGGGCAACAAAGTTAACAATGACAAATGGGAACTGCTCTTATTCTTTTACTGATTGTCTCAAAGATTGATGTTACGATGATTCATCGGTAATAAGCCATTTGTCTAGACGACATAAATGGAGAGGTAACAACAGGTTTCTTCTTGGTCTTCTTCTCGACATTGGTTTCAGAGCGAAGCCACGACTCAACCACAGAGAGTAAGTTTGGTGAGGTTTTCAAATCCTTGATCTCGTTTAGCTTGGCCGAGAGTTTCAGCTCCCCGCCATGAATGTACGCTAGATGACTAGCCCACGTCTCTAGTCCGTCGAAAATATGAGTTGCATACACAATTGTTGCTCCTCTCTGGTCATTTATCAAAAAACAAAATCAGCATTTCCATGTTTCTAACCATAAGCTCATAGAGACCTCTAAACGTATGAGAAGTAATAATCTTGATGTGTCACCGTTCTAAGGTTAAGTTCATATCAAGACATAAGGTGTATTACTTGTAATCATTCCACATCAGGAGCTTAAAACCGGACCACAAAGACGCAACAAGTACCAAAATGAAAAAGCTTGTGCCCCTGTATGTTTATGCATAATCCATGTATACATATGCTATGTGAAAATGTGCTTTAAGACTGAATCAGTAAATGGCTTACTTGTTCACATTCTTCTTTGAAGAATTCCAACAAATCCATCCTAGCAACAACGTCGAGATCCACAGTAACCTCATCCAGTAATAATACCTGAAAATCACAAATCTCATTACAATCTAAAGATCAGAAAGAGACCATGGTGATGGTGAGTTTTCAGATATCACAGAATCAAAATCTACTTACCTTGAATGGATGTAAAAGACCCATACATATCTGAACTCGGCGTCTCTGCCCATCAGAAACCTTGTGCATACGCCATTGAAGATTGATATCAAGAAGATCAATCAACTTCTCTCTTCTCACAGGATCAATCCCTTCAACTGCTTCATACAAAAACACAAACATCTCCCTGAGTATATATATATATAAGCATAAGGAAGAAGAAACCAAAAACTGGCATGCTAAGACAGAGAAGACAACCTCCAAATATCATATGCTCTGCTGAGAAGTCTCCCTGAAGAGGAATCTCACCCTAAAAAAAGAAAAATCCAAGAAAATTAGAAACAAAAAACATGTATATAGAATCTGGTGTTAATGTCAAGACTCTTGCAAGGTGTTTAAACTCACAGCAGAACCAGCGGTTTTACTCCATGAGCCTCCAAGGTAAGACAAGTCACCACTACAAACAAGCTGTGTATCATGAAAAGCTGACCGATTCAGAACTTGTACAACGTTCTTCCCTCCAACCATATGCTTCCCAGCTAAAATCTTCAATAAAGTCGTCTTCCCTGCCATTACAAAACAAAACAAAAATTATGTCAATTACAGAGTTATTGAGCAAACTAAAAGCTGAATTCGACGAAGAAAACCTCGATTTTATTGAATTCGAGCAATAAACAAACAGAATCACACGAATGATATACAAATTTTGCATTTCGCAAATGTGTTTGATTTCATAGTCATATAATATCAAGAAAAGCATTAAAAATCGAATCTTTAACTACAAAAATCGATCTAGTCAGATTCATGGAAGCAGAAACTGCAAAATTGCAAATCGGGATACCCAAAAACGAAGAAAAAACGAAAATTTACCAGATCCATTGGCACCAACCAAGAGACAACGAGATCCGGCGGGGAGATCGAGGTTGAAATCGAAGAAAACAGAATCCTGGGCTTCGTAAGAAAACTGCATCCCGCAAACCCTAATCGCACCGTCATTGTTGCCGTCGCTTCTCGGCGTCGCATCTTTCTCCGCCATTTTCTGAGAAATCAAAACAATCAGAGAGAGAAAGAGAGATGTGAGTGTTGTTGTTACTCGGTGACCGGCGATTTTCCCTCCTCCGGTTAAATCTGTCGTTGTTTAAATACGTTCCGTTTTCAACGTAGACCTGATAAGCCATCAGATTTTTGCCACGTCGCGCACTTCTCTGTCCATTAGATTTACATACTTTATTAGTCTTTCGTTAATCGTCATACGTTTAACCAGCAGAAGGCTGCCACGTCAGTGAATGTTGCTTACCGACAAATAATAAAAAAGACAGCGTACTGACTCGAACAGATGATGTCTTCTAAGACAAACTGAACCAGTCCGTTTTTTCAGTTAGTTCAGATCTCAAGAAATCTTACCGAAAATAACCGGAAAATTTTACAGTTTGATTCAGTTATCGGTTTATTCGGTTCTTTTTCAATTCACCGAAACTAACCGAAATTTTTGGTTTTTTTTTAGTGTTGAAATCCAGTTAAATCCGATAATTTTGGTTAATTTCTATTAGTTCAATTAATTCGATTTGCTTTGATTCTTTGGTTTGGAATTATATTTTCGTGAATGTTTATATTGTATGTCAGTTTAGAAAAAATTTGAAAAAACACGAAGAAGCGAACCGATAACTGATCATAATTTTGAAAGATGTCGATGAGTAATCTTAACTAATAAATCTATTTGATCCGCCCACAAAGTAAGATTATCTCTTTAATTCTTTCTCTTTTTTATTCTATAATATTAAGAAGAAGCGAGGAAAGATTACAACAAGAAATATTCGTGTCTCAGGAAATAAAGAGATCAATTTACCAAAAACACAAACTATTTTTAACTTCTTAGCTCTGATTTAACAAACTTGTCTTAGTGTCTATGGCATTTGTCTCAATGCCTCTATTGTAAGTATATGAAGCCTCCAAAGACCGTCAAAAAAAATTATTCACCGGTGATCAGAAAGCAGCCTGATAAGAGACCGATGAGGATCTACATTACTAAGAAGAAGAAGAAAGAGATAGCTCAAAGAAGAGAAACGGAGCAAGAGCTAACAAATTATCAAACGAAGTCGTTGAGTGACGTGGAAGAAGACGTTGAGCTGGCAGTTGGTCAAACAGGGTCGTTCGGTGACGTGGAAGAAGGCGTTGACTGAAGTGGTTAGAGAAGAGATAGTATAAATAGATATTGTGTATGTTAGTTGAGTTTTATGGATTGTTTTGTTGATTTGGTTGTATGAGAATTTGTTCTCTGCAAATGGGCGAATCTCTTGAGCTTGTTCTTGAGATTTGATTTCGTTTTAGGTCGCTTTGGTAACTGAGAGTCTCAGTCCCGAATCGATCTTGTATTCCTTTTCTTTGAGTGCTAATAAAATCGAGCATTTTCCTTAACATTTGGTGCGGTGAAGCAGCGAGCATAGCGACGAAGATGGTGGAATTTGATCAATCATCGGTGGATCTCGATCGAACTGCGTCAGAGCTCCAGGAATCATTTGCCGAGCTAAATCAGGAAGTCGAGATTATCCGTGGAGGTTGGGAGCGGCTAACATCGGCGAACGACGAAATCACATCGCGAGTTTCAAAAATTGAGCAGCAAATCAGTTGACAAAAATATCAACTCGATTTCGCAAACTCTAGCTCGTATGGAAGTGAATCAGTTCAACGATAAAGCTCAGGGGAAACAACATGCATCATCCTCCGGAACAGCGAATCAGGTTAGTCCAATAGATTTGGAACTCAACCGGGATAATCAATCTCTAGGTTATCGGGGAATTAGCAATGTATTAGAAAACAGGAATGGCATGTTGAAGAAGATAGAACTTCCGGTATTCGAGGGATATCGACCATACGGTTGGTTAGTTCTAGCTGAAAGATTCTTCCGATTGGGGAATTACAATGATGCAGAGAGGTTGGATCTGATGTCGATCAGTTTACAAGGTCCGGTTCTGAACTGGTTTAACAGAGAGGTAGAGAAACAAGAATTCAGAAGTTGGAAACAGTTCAAAGAAAGGTTGATCGCAAGATTCTGTGTGAAGTTAGAAGAAAATCCGGCGAAGAGATTGTTTAGCATGAAGCAAACAGGATCGATTGTGGATTATGTGAATGAATTCGAAGAATTATCGACAATAGTCAAGGGTGTGGATGAGGATAATATGATGCACGTTTTTTACGTAGGGCTAAAACCAGAAATGCAAGAGGTAATCAAGCTGAAGGAACCGAAAACATTAACGGAACATTTTCATGCGGTGATTCGTATGAACGACAGTGCCTTTTGTGCATCTATGGCATCAGCATCGAACCAGAACCAAAGTAGACGAACAGCCTACACGCCATTACGCTCATCGTCTATATATAATTCACATCGGGTATATGGTGAGAAACAAAACCAAGACTACATCAGAGAAGGGGTTAAAGGTCAGGAAAATCAGGTTGTGAGAGCTCAGACCAGTAGTTCGGGTACCACGGATAGACAACCGTGGAAGAATCAGCAAAACGGTCAGTTAGTGAGGAAATTATCACAAGCTGAATTTGAAGAATATAAGAGATTGGGATTGTGCTACAAGTGCAAGGAAAAATGGTCAAAGACACACAAATGTCCAAACAAGGAACTGAGGGTTTTAACAGTGATTAACGAAACAGAAGTGGAACTTTTAGATGAGGAAGGACTCATTTTCGTAGAATATGATACAGAGGACAGGATGGAACTCATGGAATTGTCATTATTCTCATATTTGTGGTTGTCATCACCAACGACTACAAAACTGTGGGGTACAATTGGTAAAACAAGGGTGATTGTAATGCTCGATAGTGGTGCCACGCATAACTTCATAGATACGGGGACAGTGATCAAATTGCGAATGCAACCGGTACGTAACAAAAGATTGGAAATCTTGTTAGGTACTGGCATCACAGCCCAAGGAACGGGCATTTGCAGAGATGTATCATTCAACCTACAGGGTAATGACTTCAGGGCCGACTTTATTGTACTAGAATTGGGAAATAACGACATTATCTTGGGAGTACAATGGCTCAGGACATTAGGGAAATGTGAAATGGATTGGAAAAACCACAAGATTTCTTTTAATCATGGGGGAGCGATTGTGAAACTCGTTGGTGACCCATCTCTCCATAGTAGCAAAAGTTCTCTGAAGCAGATCCATCACTCAGTGGGCTTTGACATGGAATTATTTCGAATCGAAAAGGAAGAAGAAACTCAAGTAATTCCGGAACCCATTGAACACTTATTGGGAAAGTATTTGAAAGTTTTTGCTGAACCTACACAGCTTCCTCCGATTCGTGGTCACGAACATGCCATCAACTTGATTGCAGGAGCTGGACCAATAAGTGTGCGTCCATATAGGTATCCACAAGCCTATAAGGAAGAGATGGAAAAGCTTGTGTCCAAGATGTTATCAGATGGGATAATTCGTCCAAGTCGAAGTCCCTACTCAAGTCCTGTATTGTTGGTTAAGAAGAAGGATGACTCCTGGAGATTTTGCATCGACTACAGGGCTCTGAACAAGATAACCGTGCCTGACAAATTCCCAATACCTATGATAGATCAATTGCTGGATGAACTACACGGAGCAAAGATTTTCTCGAAACTAGATTTAAGGTCAGGATATCACCAGATTCGAATGGAAAAAAGAGATATTGAGAAAACAGCTTTCAGATCTTCTAATGGTCAGTATGAGTTCTTAGTGATGCCGTTTGGACTAAGTAATGCACCGGCAACATTTCAGTCACTCAAGAATGCCCTATTTCGTCCATTTCTTGGCCAGTTTGTGCTAGTATTTTTTGATGATATACTGGTCTTTAGTTCATCGATGGAAGAACATGATTCTCATTTACAAAAGGTATTGGATATATTTGTCCAACAACAACTTTTGGCTAACAAAAAGAAGTGCTTATTCGGTCAAAACAAAGTGGAATATCTCGGACATGTTATTTCAAGTAAAGGAGTTGCTACCGACCCAGCAAAAACAGAGTCAATGAAGAAATGGCCAGTGCCTAAGACAGTAAAGGAACTCCGAGGGTTTTTGGGTCTCACTGGTTATTATAGAAGATTTGTCCGAAGCTACGACACAATTGCAAGACCGTTGACTGATCTGTTAAAAAAAGATAACTTCGAGTGGGATAACAAAACTCAAGTCGCTTTTGAACAGCTAAAAGAAGCCATGATGAACGCACCAGTACTTGCTCTTCCAAACTTCAATGAAACTTTTATAGTTGAGTCGGATGCATCGGGATACGGCATTGGAGCAGTATTGATGCAAGGGAGGAACCCCATCGCTTACTTTAGCCATGGTTTATCCAACAGAGACCAGATTAAACCAATATACGAACGTGAACTAATGGCGATCATGCTAGCCATTCAGAAATGGCGTCATTATTTGATTGGCAGAAAATTCATAATTCACACGGATCAAAAAAGCTTGAAGTTTTTGTTGGATCAGCGTGATGTTTCGATGGAGTACCAGCGTTGGTTAAGCAAGTTGTTGGGATATGACTTTGAAATCATTTACAAACCTGGTATCGACAACAGAGCCGCAGATGGTCTTTCTCGAATACATTCTGAGACAATCATGGCCTCTTCAAGTCAGTTACTGTCCTTGACTGTACCAACAAGTCTCCAACTCCAAGATATTCTAAAGGAAGTAGAAGGCGACGAGGACTTACAAATCTTAAAACAGAAAGTGATTGCAGAAAATTCGACTCAAGACAAATACAAAGTGGTAGAGGGAAGACTGTTGTACAAGGGTAGACTCGTTCTTCCGCAAAGATCAGTTTATATTCCGGTTATTCTTCAAACGTTTCACGATGATGTGTTTGGTGGTCATTCAGGTGTTTTAAAAACACTGAGAAGAATCCAACAGAATTTTTATTGGAAGAAGATGAATGAAGACATACAGAAGTATGTATCTGATTGTGGGGTATGTCAAAAACATAAATATTCCACACTTGCTCTGGCAGGCTTGCTGCAGCCCTTACCGGTACCAACAAAAATTTTGGAGGATATATCGATGGATTTCATCGAGGGATTACCACTATCTCAAGGGTCAAATGTGATACTAGTGGTTGTGGATCGCCTGAGTAATTTGCTCACTT